AAAAAAAAAAAAAGGCTTAAAGATAAGATTGTTTTTAAAAATTTTAAAGTACCTCATCTCCCATCTGTGGCACAAATGGACATCTTCGGGGAAGAGTATCTGTAATCCATGTTGAAGGTAACCATTCTTCTAATGTCAAACCATTTTCCGTGAGTTCTCCTACAGCCAATCTCTAAAAGTTAGAACATTATAAAGTAATATTATCAGAAAAGCATTCATCTCTCAATCTGCCCTTTGAAATAACTATAAACGTAGTTAAATAAAAGGAGGAAGATATCTTTGAACAAAAATATATATTCAGCTTTTAAAAACCTTATTCTGGGAAGACGGCAGCAATGGCAGTATAGTTATTCAGTCTCTCCAAATCACCACAAAAAAAGAACCAGATAAACTAAAACCTACAGACAACATTCAGAACAAAAGGAGGTGAACAACTGGTGCATCACTCTGAAAAAGACTACGAAAGCTCCTCAAAAGTTAAAAACAGAACTACCCTATGACCCAGCAATTGCATTACTGGATATTTATCCAAAGGATACAAAAATACTCAGAGGCCCATGCACCCCAATGTTTATAGCAGTATTATCAATAATAGCCAAACTATGGAAAGAGCCCAAGTGTCCACTGACTGATGAACAGATAAAGAAGATGTGGTGTATATATAAAATGGAGTATTAGCCACCAAAAAGAATGAAATCTTGCCATTTGCAACGACATGGATGGAGCGAGAATGTACTATGTTAAGTGAAATACAGAAGGACAAATACCATATGATTTCACTCATGTGGAATTTAAGAAACAAAACAGATGAACATAGGGAAGGGAAGAAAGAAAAGAAAGAGAGGGAAGCAAACCATTAGAGACTGAACTATTGAGAACAAACTGAGGGTTGCTGGAGGGGGGGTGAGTGGGGCATGGGCTCAATGGGTAACAAGTATTAAGGAGCGCATTTGTTGTGATAAGCACCCTGGGTGTTAAAATAAGTGATAAATCACTAAACCACTAAATTCTGCTCCTGAAACCATAACTATATGTTAACTAACTAGAATTTAAATAAAAACTTGAAAAAGAAAAAAAAAATTAGAGCCACAGATTTCAGTTTTATACATTGAGGTTTTGAGTTAAAGTATGTGTGAAAAAGGTTTCCTTGGACTTATTAATAAAAAGAAAAAAAAAGGTAGGAAAAGTCTGAAAATTGTTAATTCCAGCCTCAATATGGGCTATTAATTATAGCAGAAAAATATTTCTCCCTGTAAGGAAAATACCTATATTGACTGAAATAGTGAACAACACTTACATGAAACCAGGTTAAGTTGGCTATTAAATAGGAATAATATTTATAACTGTAAGACTTTGGTATGGCACAGCCAAGAATCATTACGACGATACATCTTATTCCTCAATAATTCTTGGGAAACCTAGAATTTTTAAAGTAGGTTTCTATCACTTAGTACTTAAAACCACTTAGGAAATAAAATGCACTGAATATTCCTCAAAATTTCCAGCCTCATCATTTGAATTTTTGTTCATTTTGGAGATACAGGTAATTGAGATCTTTCCTTTGTATTCATGGAAATTCTTCTAGGTTTACCTCACATCTTATTTCTGGAAGCCTTAACCTGAAACTCTAAGAAAAGATGTCCTTATTTGATTCGAGCTATCATCTTTAAAATTAATCTGGTAATTAAACATATTAGACAATGTGATATTCTATTTTTATCTTGGGGGATTAAAGCAACTTGTTAATCACACATTGTTTTCAGATAAGTACTATGTCTTACACTTCTTTTTATCCACTGTATTGCTTTATAAACCGTAAGCCTTCAATAAAAATTTATTAATCTGGTTTCCAGAGTTCCTAACAATATAATGGACATATATCAGATACATCTGAGATGACTTTACTGCATCTCTGGAGAATTCTATTAATAACCATTTTCTTTATCTGCCTTACTGGCTCTTAATTAATTCGAATACAATTAGTCATATGGAAAATGTCTTCATCTGTTCATACTTGCAGTAAATATTACTTAATGAATCTGTAACTTTCCAACTCTATGACCCTATGCGTAAGAAGGGAAATATTATTGTGTTTATTTGGAATAACAAAGAGACTAAAGAATAAGAACAATTCTATTGTTAGATCCATTGGTAGACTAATACCAAACCATGTGTACAAAAACCAAATTGAAGGGAACAGTCTATAATATCCTTACCTCATGATATTTAAAGTCTGTCCCACATAAATTCAGTGGCACACAGATCCTGTTGTAATACTTCAATAAAAATTGTGAAGTTAAAATATGCCAAACAGCAACAGTGGATCTAAATGTGGCATTGCATAAAAAAGCCCAAGGTGTTAGTTTACACACAATTATCAATCAAAAGGAACCAGGTGAGTTAGGTAAACTGCACTCTTGAGACAAAAAAATTACGTTCTCACAGTGACTTAACACTGTAAACCTCAAAAGTTAATCAAAACTGTCTTGAGATAAGAAAAAAAATGTTTATTAGTCAGATAGAAGGCTAAATCAGTTTTCTTCAACCAGTCTGTGTACCACATAAAATAATGGGTCAGCCTACATTTATCATCACTGACACATAAGAGACACACAAGAGAAAACTGAGCACATATATGTGTGATACTCTCTTTGGTAAATCATCCCCAGACAAAAGCAGAGTAAGTAATAAGAATAGTAGGCTGAGGAATCCAAATTAATAAATAATTATAAAGCTGAAACAAGAGTTCAGATGATACAGATAAAATAAACATTAAAAACAGAAGTTTTCTTAAAATTTTCAAAGCTCTCTGGAGATAAAGACAGCCTCCCTCGTATTTAATCCTATAATTAACAACTTATATTTAATTCTAAAAATGAAAGAGGTTAAAAAAAATCTTCCTTGTGTTTATTTAACCAAATATACTTTCTACTTATAGTCTTTTGGGGAATAGAAAACATCTCCCTTGTATTTCATTTACTTTAGAGCGAAAGTTAAACAGCTCTTATTTTTCTTAAAAGAATTCCATTTCCATAAGAGCTGACAGTTCTTATTTCCGTAACATTTATCTCTTACGTTCTGATTTGTCTCAAATTACCCAGACTAAAGATGAAGTAATCAAGTCAATACTGCTACTGACCTAAGGATCATCTAATTATGGCTCATCTTCTCTATAAATTAATGAAAGCTTGTTAATAACTGTAGTATCCTATTTTAGATTCATATTTGCCTTGTAGTCAACTATGACAAGTTCTGCCATTATTATTCCAAGTCATGTGTGCTCTATGCTTGCTGGTTATTTTCAGCAATTAACAATCAATAAGGATGGTCAAAAAGCAAAGGAAATTAAAAGACTCATAAAACTATATGTTTTTAAACTTTTTTTATATACACAAATGAATAAATCCCAAGAGATTACCAAAAAAAAATCTGCTCATAAGATTAAATGCTCAATATTGAGAATATGGTAATTCTATAAGTAAATACTCGCACATGCTAATTTAAAACTTGAGAAAATTAAATACGTTTGGCATACTATATTTTGCTACTGTATACTTCTGAGTTTTTTCCAATACTACTTGCTGGTACGCCTCAACAGCATTTATGTTTATCAGCAGCACTTTTAAAAAGTGTGCTTTGTTTTCATAGAAAACAATTTATATTAAAAAAAACAAAAAAACCTTTTGTTTTCTTTCTTTGGGTTTCTTTTTCTTTGGTGATATTTGTCCATCTTTTTCTTCATTTACTTTTTTCCTTTCCTTTTTAATCTGTTTTTGCTTCTGTTTTTCAGATTCTTCTTCATCTGAACTGCTTTCTGCTTTCTTGGTTTTATGCTTAGGAATTTTCTTTGGTGGCTGCAGATTAATTCCTGCATCTGCTGTCCAGTCAGAATAATCACTAGAGTAGTCACTAAAAGGCAAAAGGGATTAAAAAATACAAACAGAAGACATACCGTAAGACTATTTTATAAATATAAAGAGATCACAATGACAGAGTAACAAACTAAAAACACTTCCCTTTCAACTCATGTTCTAAACAGTTTCTTAAAATTCTGTCAGCTTAACTTAAGTATCTCAAAAACTTTAAGATAAATAAGGCTATAGCTTTAATTGAAACAATGAATTTAAGTGCCTCCTATGATTTTAACAAAAATATTAATTTCTGGGGCACCTGGGTGGCTCTGTCAGAAAAGTGTTCAACTCATGATCTCAGCTCAGGTCATGATCTCACAGTTTGTGAGTTTGAGCCCTGTGTTGGCTCCTCACTATAGGTGGGGAGTGTGCTTGCTTGGGATTCTCTCTCTCCCCCTCTCTCAAAATAAATAAATAGACTTAAAAAATTAATTTCTGAAGAGTGTTGCATTCTGGGGCAAAATACTGTGGGGAATACAAAAATAAGGAGCAATTCTAGCAACGGCAGATAGTCTTGGATGCCACAGAGATACCAACATTAAGGAGGAGGAAGCATAGGGATTACTTATTTGAGAGGAGCAGGGAACTCTTCACCATAGGTATTTTGATGGTAGAGCACTGGTGCCTTCATGATAGCTGGATATTAAATGGGGGTGAGGTGGGGTTTGTCCCAAGTGTTCCAGCCTATTAGGAAGGTTGTGCTTGCAACTTTTACTCAACATCTACATATACCTTAGACGTAGCTTATGCTTCAAAGAATGCCATGATTCTGAAAACTACATGCCTTAGTGTTTTATGTATCACTACTAAGCATGTTTGCCATTTCTTTTCAGTGTACCTTCAAAAGACTCAAATTTTATTGAACTGATGTTGGTGCAAAATAAAGAATGCAGTTATATTATCTTCTGTTCTAATTTTAGTACATGAGAATACTACTTGATTTTTTACAATTTTAAAACTATAAATGCCTTAAAGAAATCTAAGTTACACTATATTAAAATCAATAGTTTTCCTATATTTAGTGATGATGTATAACCTTACTTCTCTAAAAAGATTAACATGGAAAGGACAGATTTGTCTGGAGTTTTATTCTACTACCACCACTTCGAACCCCTGTCCCCAAAATCCCTAACAGACATCTACCTATATCTCCCTAAGAATAATCATTACAGATAAGAATCAAATAATTAAGGTGCATTCTAGTATGATTTCATGACTTCATTTTAATTTGAAAACAATATTAAAGAACTTGGTTTAAAAAATATTTTCAGATTCTATACTGGATGCATGGGAATGCATCTGCAGAGCACACATCTATCCAAGAATAAGCTGTCCTCAACTTATGAGCATTTATTTATACTAACTCCAGCCCATGGTCACTAAAAATGGCACCTGCCAAATACTCACAGCTGCTACTCTCCAGAGCACTTGGCACTTACAGAAAATCTGATGCCAGCACAGATCTGACTACAAACTGCAGAACCCGTGGTCTTTACAACTGCCCCTAACTGCTGAAGCCACTACTACTTTCTCAATATATGAACTTCTATGCTGTCTCATGGTTTGAGATACTCTATTTTCCACTGCTGAGCCAAAAGAAAGTGAGTTTTTCTTTTATTGCCCTGTTTCAAATATAGAAATCTCCCAGACACAGCCATGGGTACATGCATATCATCACTAGGAGTCAATGTTGTAGGAATAAGAAAGCCCTTGATTCTAACACTGATATAAGGAATTCTGATAACCTCCACCTCTTCGTTTCCTTGGCAATTTTAAGAGCTACTGCTGACAGGGATAAGTGTAAGGAGCTAAATATAATCAAAAGCTACTTTCTTGGTACTAAGACCTTATAAGGTCAGCAAAGATCAGCCCTATAACAATGTAGATCACCATTATAAGGAAATAAAGGAATCCTCACTTCTCATTGCTGGAAGAAATAATTATCATTCAACAAATTATACTATATGAAAATAGACAATTCTACAAGATCTCATTACTTCAATGCTTAAGTATTTCTCAAAACCAGTAATGAAACTCATTTGTAGTTCACTATTACAAATAATAGGATTCAGAAGATAAAAGATCAACTAAGAGGACAAATTAAAAGCATCATTTTGCGCATTTAGTTGCAATGACCAAAATTTTTTTCTGCTAAGATAAACATATCAGAAAGAAAATCTCCTAACTTTTGGACTACAAAAAGACCGCCAAAGAAGAACCAACTTTATTTTTTTTAAGTTAATTTATTTATATGTTGGGGGGGGTGGCGCAGAGAAAGAGGGAGAGAAAGGATCCTACTCAGGCTCCATACTCAGCCTGCAGCCTGACACGGGTAAGGCTCGATCTTACAACAGTGAGGTCATGACGTGAGTTAATATCAAGAGTTGGACAATTAACCAACCAAGCCACCCACGTGCCGCCAAAAATAACTTTAAACCCAAAGAAAATTTGAAATGTGTTGCTGATAAAAACGAACCTTCAGGTTTGTAAAGATTTTATATTACACGTGTAGAAATAAAATTCGATGGATTACCTAGAACTGCCATCACTGTGCCATGCTCTCTCATCCTCTTCAGACGTTCCACCACTGACAGCAACAACTTCCCCTTCCTAAGAAATATTTAATATATATTTTATTGTGTAATTTTACATTAACATTCTATGATTATACAAAGTATCAGTCGCTCAATTCTACTCCTGATATTATTACACTATATGTTAACTAACGATTTTTTAAAAATGCAGGCTAAAATGGGGGAGGTAGCTCGAAGGAAATATACCTAACAAATATTTGCTTTATGTATCCCTGGCTAAATGGTTATGCATATGTGATTACATAGATACAGACATAATGGGGAGTAGCATATTTTAAAGCAACTTAAATGTCAAAAACTTTTTTTAATCTCATTTGTTCTACGTTATTACATAACAATTAAAAAAAATATCAGTGATATTTAATAGCACCAATCATATAGTATATTTACAACCATTAAAACCTGATTTTAATTAGCTATAAAACACAGGTCTTATATTTTTATCCAACAAAATTATTAAACATAGCCAACAAAATAATACCTATTAATAATGGATTCAGAGCAATCTCTCAGGTGATTAACATTTTGTTTGTTATTGTTTTTTAAGCCTCAATATATCTTTGAGATTGGATGTTAAATTCTATAGATAACAATGGGAATCAATTTTACTTTTTGGCCCATTTTAAAAACTTAAGGTTTTTCTACAGATGTTACGAGAAGTTTAAATTAGGAATTTATATCTTATTGTTACACTCTGATATTATTCTATACAAATAGTAGAGGATTAAAAAATACCCAAACACTGTTTCTCTTCAGTAAACATACTCTGCTCAACGTAGGATATTCCAGAGAAGCCATTTTCTTTATAAAAATTGTTTTTCAGGGTCACAAAATCTTACACAATTTCTCCCTTGCTCAAATAAAACTTTATGCTTCAGTAAAAACAACAGCTCACGTTAATTAAGCTTTTACTAGTATTTCAGAAATTATTCAAAGCATGTTGTATACATTATCCCATTTGACCTAGACAAAACATTGCTAGTGATAGGGAGCAGTTATTTAAAGAAATTAAAGTTTAAAAAGGTTAAGCAATTTACCCTAGGCAGCATAATTAATAAGCAACTAAGCTACTCCAAAGCTTAGACTCCTCTCCACAAGAATGGTTCAGTATTATCACTTGCTGGGCATATTCACAGAATTTTCCAAGATGATAATGGGATGTATTCCTTTACTAATTCAATAAAATAGCCTATTTGGGGAAGAATTTTTTCTTTTTGATGTCTTAATAATGAAGAATATGTATTATACAACTATTCCACAATGTTTTGAGAACTAAGCAAATATGAAAAGATCAAATCCAACAGTAAATTTAATCTCTGCTCAATATAACTGAAAAAATAAATAAATGATCCGATTATTCCCATCATTACGATACATATTACTTCTTTAAAGGGAGAGAAAAGAAATGTACTTCTATATTCTTAGTAGAAAATTAAGTACTATAGAGAAGTACAAAATATTTGAACTAAAAAAAAAACAGGATTCTTTCCGTTAATATATTGTACCATACACAATATTCTGTTCTCAATGTATTCCTCTAGAAATTTATTCAGTTGCTCTGAATGAATGTTAAAGTATAAGCAAATTAGTTTTGAAGACAAATGAAGGATTAGTTAACTTTTTCCTATGTAACAGATATATGTGAAAATATGTTTCTAATAAACTGAATCATATTTAGAATATTTTATAGAAACATATTACTAAAAGAATCATACTAAATCTTTCAAAAATAAGGAAATATTTTATAAAGGCAAATAACTAGCTCACATATATTTTATGTGTATATCTAAACTGTCATGTGTCAAAATTATGTTATTAGTATATTTGGTCATTTTACTAGATTGGACATTATCATTTCGACCTGGCCATACTAGGACCTGAAGCCAATGGAGATTAACTTCTCAACTGTGGTTAGCATACTCTCACAGTTTGAGTTTTACTGCCATGTCTACAAAGTAGAATATACTCAGAGAATTCCCGTATATGTCTAACATTGCTTCATAAACATATAGTAGTCAATAGGATCATAGAGTCTTTGACCTAACTGGGGGAGGGATGATTGGGAAGGTGGAGAGGGTAAGGGAAATGTTGTAAATACTTAAGATTAATTTATGATCGTAAATTGGTTGCCTTTGTTGAAAGAATATATAATTTAGTAGGGACAATGATATTTATAGAAATAATTATGCATAAGGAAAATTTAAAAGATTAAATTAAGAAAGTCATACACTAGTACAGAGCTAAAAAGCTAACCAAAATTGCCAAATGTCTCTTAATTAGTTATTATAATTACAGACTAGAGCTACATGGTATTAGTTTAAAAGGTTGGCTTTAGTGTAAAGAAAGGAACTTGGGTTTAACTCCCGCTCTACCATTTAATAATTAGGTACATAGGTAATCTAAACATCTCTGAACTTCAGACACCTCATACATAAAATAGGAATAATTCATTCACATGCATTTGTTTTGTGGATTTGGTATTATGAATATGTGTGCCATGCTTGGCACATATATAATAAGTCTTCAGTAAATGGAAGCTATCACTATCATTTTAAGACCTAGAAAACATCATCTTTGAGCTACATCTATAATACATCAATGAATACAAAGAATGAAAGTCATATTAAAAAAAACAAGTAAAACTGATAACAAATTTATGAATGTGCTGAGATCTTACATCTGAAGAACTAGTGCCATTTTCTATCTCTTCTGAAGGTCTAGGAGTCTCTTCCAATGCAGATCTTGTACGATAATTGTGTTGATTTGTCTGCTGCCTTTTGGATTCTCCAAGATCCAGGAAATGCTCATGAGCATGATTCTGGAAAAAAGTAAATTAAATTTTATTTATTTAAAATGTGATCAAAGAGCATGCTTTTTCCTGTAGAAGTTATATATTTTTTAATTATTAAAAAATACATTCATATTTAAGATAAGCACATAAGTGGACTATAGTTCCAGTTCAAGTATTTTAATAGTAAATCATTAATATTAAATATTTAGGTTAAATCACAGGTTTGTGAAATGCTAAAATTCACTTACTGATAAATTAGCTTAGAAATAGTTTTTTTCTGATTAAGTGATACAGACTAAACGATTCATAATGGCAGACTAACAATTCTCCTATACCCACATTAAACCTATAGAACAGATATAAGAAAGAGGACGATGGGCTGTGAGACATATGTCATTAGGCAGGGGCAAACTGGAAACCAAAACGGTGATCAAAAAACTACCCTACCACTGTGAGGCTAGGACACCAGGTGGCTGGCTATCTCTCTTTGGCTGCAGACTGAACGCAGCAGATGAGAACACAACTAACAATGATCAAAAACTGAGAAAACCCAACATGGTGACAAACCCAACAAACCTAAGAATTCACACCTGAAAAAAAAAAAAAAAGACTACTTGTGAATATAAAAGAAAAAAGAAAATAAAGATTACTTTTAAAAACAGACTGCCATGAGATTTATGCATACAATATATCATAAATGAATATATATCATACAATAAGAAAATCTTTAAAGTGACAGAAAATAACTTTGAGACTGTAACCAATTCCCCACCGCCCTCCAGCCCCGGCTTTTTTTCCCCTTCTCATTAAACTTTGTTTTAATGGGTCACAAAATTCTGTGACAGATTTCTGGCCAAGTTGTTTCCATTAAAAGTACTGATTTAAAAGCTAAATTACCTTAAAATTGCTACCCCCCGCCCCAACACACACCAAATGATCCACAAAAGGTTCTTTCAAGAGTTTACAATGCATTACTATCATTAAACAGTTTCTTAAACTTAAAATGGCCATCGGAGGCAAACAGCTCTGAGATTACTCTTCCACTACTAATTAAGACAAGGTGGCCAGTATTAGGAATAATATTCATTTAACTTCCTGGGTGGACTTGGTGACCTTGCCAACTCCAGTAGCCTTCTTGTCCACTGCTTTGATTACACCCACAGCAACTGTCTTATGTCACAAAGAACCAAATGACCCGAGAAGGACAGTCAGAGAAGCTCTCGACACACACAGGCCTGCCAGGAACTATATCAACTATGGCAGCATCAACAGATTTCAAGAATTCAGAGTCCGCTTTCAGTTTCCTCCCAGAAGACCAATCAATCTTCTCCTTTGGCTCAGCAAACTTGTAAGCAATGTGAACTGTGTAACAATTCAGCACAGGTGTACAGCCAGCACTAATTTGGCCTGGATGACTAAAGATAATAATCTGCATTGCGAAGCCAGCTGCTTGCACTGGTGGGTTATTTTTGCTATCAGCAGCCATAGTGCCACAGCAAGCATCTTTTATAAATATGGTCTTGACACTAAAGCCCACATGAGCACCAGAGAGAGCTTCATGGTGCACACATTTCAACAAACTTTACTACAACTGTAGTGATTCAAGCAAAGATGACCACCATGCCAGGTTTGAGGACACCAGTCTGCACTGGGCCTACGGGGACAGCACTAATACTACCCAATTTTGTAGGCAACAGGGAAGGGCGGGCACAAATGTCTGTAAGTTGGATGAGTTGGTGGTAGAATGTCAAAACTGTCCAGAACTACAAGCAGCATGGTTCCGTTGGCACTGTTATCTTTACAGGTGATTTTCCATCTCTTGAACCAATGTACGTCAGCACTTGGTTCTAATATGTACCAGTCCAACCGAAAACTGGCACAAATGCTATGGTGTAGAGGTTACAGTCAATTTCCTTTTTGAGAAAGAGGAGGCAGAGCGTGAGAGAGTGAGTGAGTGAGTGGGGGAGGGGGAGAAAGAGAGGGAAACACAGACTCCAAAGTGGGCCTAGACTACGAGCTGTCAGCACAGATCCCGACGTAGGGCTTGAACTCATGAAAAGTGAGACTATGACCTGAGCCGAAGTTGGACACTTAACTAACTGAGCCACCCCAGGTGCCTGAGACAATTTTCTTAATGTAGGTGCTGGTTCCTTAACAATTTCTTCATATCTCTTCTATGAGGTGCTCACAAGAATTCATGCTATTAACACAAAATAAGAAGTTATGTAACATTAATCACTCGTTTGTGTTCATTTTCAGGTGATTCTCGGTCAGGAAACTTTCAGAATGTTGTTTTACATGTTTTCAAATCTATCACGTGCTTAGTTGAGGTTTTAAAATTTTTAATTCTATATCATTTACTCCTTGTTTCTACTGTTTGGCATGGCACACCAGCCAGGTTAATTTCAAGAAAATGCTGGTTTATTATTTTTCAACTCTTTCCTCCCTCTATTGTCTCTTCTTCAGAGACTCATTAATACTTTGCATGCTCTCTTTACATATACCTACATACATATTACATAACTATGTATGTTTGCTTTTTATACTTCCCTCATTCTTCCCATTATTTCATTCCCTGTTGATACACTCTGGGGGAGTTCTTCAACTTGACTTTCCAGCTTACTAACTAACTTTTCAGTGTCTTACATTCTTCTAGTCAGGTCATCCACTGAGTTCTTGGTTTCAATAATGATGTGTTTCATCCCAATGTATCTAATGGGATCCTCTCCAAAACTGCTTAAGGCTACATGTTCCCAATATTCTTGCCTAGCTCTCTGAGAATATGCTATTTCAACTATCTATTCTGTGCATCCAATTAGTTTCCCTATGTAAGTCATGTAAGTCCATCTGTAGTGTGGTTTTTTTTTTTAACCTATCATGCTTTGGCTTCACAAGCATGTTGGGGCGCTAATATTGCACTGAGGAGGAGGAGGAGAGAAAAAAGCAAAAAATCTAGGTCTTGTATTGTACTCCTAAAAAAGATTATTGAGGCGTATGGGTGAAGGAGATGTGCACTTCAAGACTCATCATACTGCGAGTTCTGCCCCTAGGAGAGGGGCTGTGGTCCCAGTGGTGGGCTGGGGACAGACATCGGGTCTGACTGTGGCCCCGCCCACCAACACAAGTTTCTCTGGACAGCACAGGGGAAGTACCCTGCAGTTTGCAGCTACTGCAGGGACTACCCAAAATGACGAAACGGAAGAATTCTCCTCAAAAGAAACTCCAGGAAGTAGCGACAGCTAACGAATTGATCAAAACCGATTTAAGCAATATAACGGAACAAGAATTTAGAATAATAGTCATAAAATTAATCGCTGGGCTTGAAAAAAGCATACAGGACAGCAGAGAGTCTATTGATACACAGATCAAGGAACTAAAAAATAGTCATGAGGAATTAAAAAATGCTATCAATGAGGTGTATAATAAAATGGAGGCGGCCATAGCACAGATTCAAGAGGCAGAGGAGAGAATGGGTGAATTAGAAGATAAAATTATGGAAAAAGAGGAAGCTGAGAAAAAGATTAAAAAAATCCAGGAATATGAGTGGTGAGTTAGAGAACTAAGTAATGCAATCAAATGGAACAATATCCCTATCATCAGAATTCCAGAAGAAGAAGAGAAAGAAAGGGGCTGAAGGTGTACTTGAACAAATCATAGCTGAGAACTTCCTTGATCTGGGGAAGGAAACAGGCATTGAAATCTAAGAGGCACAGAGGAACTCCCTTCAGACGTAACTTGAATCGATCTTCTGCACAACATACCATTGTGAAACTGGCAAAATACAAGGATAAAGAGAGAATTCTGAAAGCAGCTAGGGATAAACAGGCCTTAAAATACAAAGGTAGACACATACGGGTAGTAGCAGACTTATCTACTGAAACTCGGCAGGCCAGAAAGGAATGGCAGGAAATCTTCAACGTGATGAACAGAAAAAATATGCAGCCAAGAATCCTTTATCCAGGGATGCCTGGGTGGCTCCGTTGGTTAAGCGTCTGACTGCAGCTCAGGTCATGATCTCACAGCTTGTGAGTTCGAGCTCCGTGTTGGGCTCTGTGCTCACAGCTCAGAGCCTAGAGCCTGCTCAGGATTCTGTGTCTCCTCTCTCTCTGCCCCTCCCCCACTTGCGTGCTCACTTGCTTGCTCCTTCAAAAATAAA